CATTAACTTCTCCTACATGCAATTTTTAGATTTTTTTTCACTCTTATAAAATATATTTGAATAAAAATAACTTGTAAAATTTTTTTAATTATATACCAACCATTAATAAATGCTCACATTGGTAATACAATGTGTACCCAGATTATTAGCGAAATTGATATTCCCACTGGTTTTATATACTCCTGCTGGTTTTTAATATAAGGTAAAGTTAAATATTTTTTAACTTATTAAGATACCAAGTGTTAGTTATATCATTAAAATTGTTAAAATATATAACTTTCCAATTTTACCATTATTTGTAATTAATAATTAATAATTATAATAAATTGTTGTGTGGGAATTTAAACCATAACAGTATAAACAAAGATTGAAAAATAAAATTAAGCACTCACTCTAACTTTGTCTTATGTTAAGCATTGAAATAATTTTACAAAGTTTGTCTTATATTAAGGATCGGAGGGAGTATAAATCACTACTAACAACCTCATTGAAATTAAGAACCTACTCCATTCGGTCCTATTTATAAGACACCTTCTAAAAATAATTTCTAATTCAAAATATAGGACACCTTATAATAATTAAATTATTTTTAAATTTTATCCCTTCTTAATTAGTGTGGAGGTATTTAATGTAGTTATATTATTATTTAAAATTAAGAATAAAAATAAAAGTACATTTTATTTTTTTATGATATCAAGAAAAAAAAAACTAACTTTCTTAATATATGTGAAACGGTTGAAAGTACTCAACAATAAGGACCAAAACGAGTAAGTAGTTAAATTATTGATGTTGTATGAAAAAAGATACTCCATCCGTCCCTCTATATAAGATGTTTTTAACTAAATTATGCAAACTAATAAAAGTTAGTTATCTAATTTAAAGCATAGTAATATTTTAATTTTATCCTTAATTATTGTAAATCAAAAATGAATCTCTTGTTTCAAAGTAAATTAATTAGAGTACTTATCTTTTTTTCTTTTTAATTTAATAAAGGTATAATGGTCCACTTGTTAAAAATGCATGCTAACAATGTCTTATATTTAGATATAAAAAAAATTTTAGAAAATCTCTTATATATAGGTATGGGAGAGTATTTCATAGTTTACTTTATTAAATACATCATCTTTAAGAACAATTTCTCTCTCATATATAACAGTTTTGTAATAGCCCAAAAAAAAATTTAATTAATTGATTGACTAACATATAAATCTGAATCATCTCATTGTTTTAGCCTATAAGAAATTATCACTTTGCCCTTAGAATAATAAATAAAATAAAGTGAGTTTAAGACAGAGCATACGTGTACTCCCTCAGCCATATGAGTCAGCTCATAGAGTAAGAGAAAGAAAGAGAAATTTGGAAGCTTATCACAATTCTTGCTCTTCATTCTTTAGTGATCACTGATTGTTCTTCTCTTGTGTATCTTCAGTGGTCATCAGCTAGAGTGAAGTTGGGGCTGCGCTAGGTTGATCTCTTCGTGATCCTTGTCTCTATTTTTCCTCTTCATTTTCTACTCTGTTTCTATCTGTGTTGTCACCTTCGAATGGTTGTTGGGACGAGAGACCGAGCTGCCGGAGCTATGGTAGTACTGTAATGAGTCTAGATTGTTGCTGTTGATTCATTTACTGTGTTTCCATATAAGTAGCGTCCATTTTTTTTGCTCCCCTATTCTGCTGCGAGCTTCATTTTTCTCCTTCCCATAACGTGTGCAGCGTCAGCTCTCTCTTCTGTTCAGTATTTAAGGACCTTCTTCTTCCTCCTCTGCTATCCGTCGCTGTTTGGGCTAGTCAAGTTGAGGTGAGGAATTTTTGGACCCTCTATTTATGATTGGCTGTACATGTAAGTGTGTTGCTGTCATTGTTGTGTGTGGAGCTACAACACTTTATTCTTGCTCTACCATTGCCTATGCTATTATAGAAAGAAGAAGGTTGAAACTTTAGCTTGAAACCTATCTAAACTTGGTAATAATATATGATATATGTGGGTTGAGGGTTGCAGTTTTAGAAATTTATCCCCTCTCTGACTGTACATGCATGCATAAAGAATTTCTATTTAAATGAATATTGTGATTGTGCAAGGAAGCAAGATGATATTGTAAGGTTTCAATGAAGCTAAAATTTAGGAAGGAAAATATTAATATTAACTTGATAAATTATGCATTATGTTGTTTGATAAAATACCTAGTAGAAAATTTTACCTCAAGGAAATAGAATGGCATGGCTAAAGCTTTATAGAGAAAGTCATAAAGATGAGTGATAATGCTTGGACTAATTTTAAATCATAAATCTGGCTTTGAATTTTAGATAATGATGGTTAATTGGAATTCTATTAAGATTGGAAATTTGTTAAAATGTTATTTATTTATCTATATCCTGATAAGGTGTGAGGAAGAATGGAACCCTGACCAGAACTAGAGGAAGAATATCTTTGAGAATTTAGAACTCCAACATGTAAGTGAATAGCATCCCCTTAACTTATTTTTATTTTCATTTTCAATAAATTTTCATTGAAATATTTTACTCCTAAGAATTACGTTGGCTTTGGAACTTCTGGAATATTGATGATAGATAATTGGATGATGATATGTGCATTGTTTCCTCAAGAAATATATTTTGAAGATTATGAAATTAGTTGTTTATAAATCTCTGAAATTCTTGATTATTCAATTAATGCAAGTTTATACATTATTTATGAAATATCATTTTTGACAAGTACTACATTGAACTTTGAAATAATTCATGCAAGTTTGATATTGAAAATACAAATTGCATTTTAGAAGTAATTATTCTTCTCGCATGTTTGAAATGTGATTTTAAGATGACTCTAAATAGAACACTATTACTAATGACAGTTTCGTTAGCCTGTAGCATGCTATGGTTAAAAACTAGCTAGTTTGTCTCGTGAGGTTTGTTCTCACGTTTGATATTCGTGGACTTTGTACCCGTGTTTGATTTCGTGGCTTGAGCCGCGTTTGATTAGTATTACCCTCGTGGATTGTGTGTCCATGTTTGCTCTCATAGCTTCGGCTGTGTTTAGTTACTTACCCTCATGAACTATGTGTCCATATTTATTTTCATGGCATAAGCCGCGTTCAGTTATTTACTCTCGTAGACTATGTATCTACATTTGTTACATGCTCTGTTGAGTTCTCAAAATTTTAAATGTTGGCTAATATATGTTTTCAAAATTTACATGATTTTGGCTAGCAATTATACCACTCTAATTTATAGGTGAGTAAATTATTTTTTTAAGAATGATAACATAAATTACTTTCAATTTACTCTCATTTTTTTTATGATTACGATTACAGATTTACGAATTTATTTTGTTGAATTATTTTTAATTAGTTTACACCATTGTTAGAGTTTGTTAATTTTACTTTGGGAATGCTATTCACTGAAAAACTTGTTTGGTTTCAGATTTGTTAGCTAACACTGATCCCACCATCGACCTCTGAAAGGAAATATAGCTACATTGGGTGGAAATTTTGGTTGATACTATTGTTTTAGATGTAAATATATAAGTCACATGTATTTTGATTTAAAAGAAAGATTAGTGCTCTACATAAATTATTGATAGACTTTATTTTGATTTGTATACTGGTTGCTAGCTGGAAGGAGCTACGCTTCTGATTTATACTATAATCTGTAAAATTTTTCTATTGTGGAATTTTCAAGAGATCCTAGTTACAGAGGAGGTTCTGCCAAAATTTTTACAAAAATGTTGAAATTTTTTTGACAATTAGTATCAAACTATTAAAATTTTTATATAGTCTAATTGATTCTTCTTCTAGAAATGGAATGCATTTTCATATTTGAGGCTTACGGGGATGTATAAAGTGGTTCACACTCATGCCAGTCATCCTTTATTTTTAGGGCGCGACAATTTTATTCTTCTCATACAAAATTTTGAATAAAGGGTAAAATTTGAAGAGAGTAATTAATGAATTATTTTTTAATCCAAAATGACTTTTAAAAATGACGATCAATTTTTTCTACGTGCAACTTAAATATAGGAGGGGAGGGAGTATATATGATATCAATTCATACGAAGTAATCTAGGTTGCTTAATTACATATACTCCCACCGTCACGTTCAATATTAGAAGTTAATTTTTTTTCTCAAAGTATCATGTGCAAAAAATATAAGGTATTTTGGATCTTTCAATGTGTAATTAATAAAATTTTTTAAAAATATTCTTAATTAGATGTGTAACTAATAATTTTTTTTAAAAAATTGAGATACATTATTGAATAAAGGTAAACATGAAAAGAATATATAATTTTAAAAACAATTAACTAACTTATTAAGAATGTAACTTAATTAAAAAATGTCTTATATCAATCGGATTTTGAAAAGAACCTTAAAGACAATTATTAGACCACATCAACTAACAACAAACTCTTCCCCAACGAGATAATTGTCCCCATTATTAATACTATCAAAATCGGAGAGCGAATTATCGTTCACTCATACAACCATTAAAATTTACTTTGTTGAATTAATATACTTTCATACTAATAATCTTCTTTATTTTCATAAATTAATGCTTAAATGTAGAAGTACAGTGAGATTCAATAAAACCATTAATCTGTCCTAAAATTTAACCCAACCCAGTTCAATTTCTTTAGGTTACCATTAACCAAAAGCTAAGGTCAACTTAGTCAAGTTAAAAAAATAAATATTAAGATTAATTGGATTGTTTAAAAAAATTTAAATTATTTTATTTTTAGTATGGTTAGTTGGGTGAATACAGAACCTAGCTACGCTATAAATAATAATATATTACAACAACAACAAATACACACACACTACACCACAAAAATGATGATTATAGTAATTATTGACGATGGCATACTTCATATTTTATATATATATATATATATATATATTACTTAAACATTAGTGCAAATAGGTAGAAAGTGGAAATACAAATGTGATAAGAGAGAGAAGAAAAAGAAGAACAAAAGCACCTTCATATAGGGCCCATGGCATGTCCTCTCCAAAGGCCCCAGCAAGGATGTGATTTTCTTCTTTCTTCAATTCTCTGCTCTCTCTCTCTCTCCCCCTCCCCCCCTCTGCAACTTCTCCAACCGGATACCTATTCCTTCCTCTCTCACACACACACACACAGTCACCGCCACGGCCGACGCCATGTCCGGTGCAACCCCAACTGATTCCTCCTCCTCGTCGCGACCTGTCGCAGATCACCACAACCAGCAGCAGCAGCAACCGGTGGCGGCTGCTGCAGCTCCTTTAAGCCGGTACGAGTCGCAGAAACGGCGAGATTGGAACACCTTTGGGCAGTACTTGAAGAATCAGTCGCCTCCGGTTGCACTGTCTCAGTGCAACTTCAACCATGTTCTGGAATTCCTTCGGTACCTTGACCAATTCGGGAAGACCAAGGTCCACTCACACGGCTGCATCTTCTTCGGGCAACCTGACCCGCCGGCACCGTGCACCTGTCCGCTCCGGCAGGCTTGGGGAAGCCTCGATGCGCTCATCGGTAGGCTTAGAGCTGCCTACGAAGAGCACGGCGGCTCGCCGGAGACAAACCCTTTTGGGAGCGGCGCAATCAGAGTGTATCTGCGTGAAGTGAAGGAGTGTCAATCAAAGGCAAGAGGGATTCCGTATAAGAAGAAAAAGAAGAGAAGAAGCCAACTGAAAGGGACCAACACTGATCAGACTGCAAGGCCTCTCAAGCAATTAGCTTCTTGAGAGAGAATGAATGGTAACTTTACAACTTTCAGACTTACTTACACCACTATCTCATGTGCTTCTTCATATTATTACACCAAAATTTGTGTGTTTGTGTTAAAATATCAGCTTCACTGTCTGATTTTTAAAAATATTAACTCACTCTGCGGAAATTTGAAGAGAATCTCTTGGATATGATGAGGATCACCATTTTGTAGTAAGTAACGAAACCCTAGCTAGAATCAGACTGAAAACCCTAATCTTCATAGCCATAGGGAGATTGATGAGAGAAATGTTATGGGAGTGATTTATGAGAATATTTTACTGATATAGCTAATGACTGAGATTACAATGATTAGACGAGAAAGAAAAACTGATCTCATGCTTTCTCTGATCTCTGTTTTTCTCTTTCTTCTCTCTCCTATCATTCAAATCACTGTTGATTCATTTCCCTAATTAAATAGTCTATTAGGCATTTACTTTATAGTAATTTTGGGCCTTTCTTGATTCTGTTAGATATCTTGTGTTCCCCATGGCCACATACTCCATATCATGAGTTGCATGAAATTTTGTCACACACATTGACTGACTCAAATGTAGAGAAATCTCTGAGCTTTTTGGCCAAGTGTTAATACGGTAGTTATTTCAAAGTTTGAAACTTTTGATTTAAATTTCAATTAAATCAACATAACTAAACTATACGTATACTACAGCTTTATGTTCCCTCCGATTCTATTTGTATGACATTTTTTAGAAATAATTTTTTATCTAAAATATAATACACTTGCAATAATTAAATTACTTTTTTAATTTTATTCTTTTTTTATTAGCGTAAATGCATTCAATGTAATTGTATTACTATTTAAAGTTAAAGGTAAAAATAAAAGTATATATCACTTTTTTATAATTAAAATCTATTTTTTAAAAATATGTAAAATAATTAAAAGTGTCTTGCAAATACAATAAAAATTGGAGGAAGTACTCCTTTAGTCCTATATATTTATAGGGTAGAGAGAGTATTTGTCTAAAAATTTAACAAGTTTTTAGTTTTACCCCTATTAAATATACACACTTAAAAAGTCAAATACTCTAGTATTCAATAATCTTCCTAACATTTATTAAGGGCAAAGGGTAAAGATTGACGCAATAATTGGTCGTTTCATAACAAATGTGTGGTACAAAAGTTAATTGTTTAATTTGTTCAATGTGGGCACTTCTAGAATGGTTGAATATAGTCCCCAGTTAGTGCGCGTGTGGAGAAGCTAGTGGTTAAGGACACATTAATTATCATTTTTTTTTGTTGTCCAGATATATCTATATATACTTTGTATCATTATAGGATGTTTATGTCTATGATTTATTGTTTTTTATAAGCTTTCTAGGTCCTCTTAATGTCTCACTTGATATGTTAATTTCGATTTGCTATCCCATTGATGAAAAAGGTCCAAATAACAAAAAACAAATGTTGTCTAAAGGAACAAAGAGAGGAGAGAGGATGTTCAATAATTGGAACTTTGGCTTATTGAGTAAAAGAAAAATAGATACTGTATATAAGTAGATAAACGTATAATTACCTAGGACAATTAAAATTCTACTTGTGAAAATTAATTATAAAGCAGTCAAAAAATAGGATACCAGGAAAACCAATAATTTAAGGATGTTTTTGGTTAAGAAAAATGTACAACATTGAACTCATTCATAGTACTTGACATAAAAAAAAGTTAATTATTGTATGGCTATATAAGACAAGGGAAAAATTATATTATTTCAAATTGAAACTTTTACTGAATGAGAGGAAGAAAAGAGCATGTTTAAGATTAAATTAAATTTTAACATACTCCACACATATATGGCCATACACAAAATGAGCTTTTCATGTAATGGTTAACTTCATAAAAATTTTCAAGGAAAATTATATGACATTGTAATTGTTTTTTTACAAATTAATAAAGCACAAAACTTGAAAGTAAGAAATACAAAAAAGAACAATATAAATAACAAATGCAATTTAACTATTACGTGAAGTGTTATTAACAAATACTTTTGGCACATAAAAAGCAATCAAAGTACATCACTGATATGATACCTCGATCGCACATCTTTTTTCTCCCTTTTAACCAAGAAAAGATGTTGTGTGAGGATCCTATTTAGAAATGAATATGCTTGGCCCAAAAAAAAAAACAATAAGAATTGAACATGTGGATTATTGCCTAAAAATACTTGAATATATAGATAGAGCATGGATCCACCACTACAGCCTTATGTTTAGGAAAATGCATAGTTGCCATATCCACTGATTTTGGGAATGTGAAATGTTCCAACATATTTAAAATAGTTGTTTTGAAATGTACGAGAAACTTCTTGCATATATGATATACCATATTGTATCCAAAATTCATCCATATTCTATAAGTCACAATTTGAAGAAAAACATGAAGAGCTTCTAAGACCAAAGGCAATTAGATAAAATCACTGCTACAAAACTATATTTTTTACACAAACATTACTGTGTAGAAATTGTCACCGGTTGTTAACACAAGTGGTGCAGAAAGTGAATTTTTTTCCCTTTTTTTTTAACTTACCACACCTTTTTTGAGTGACTTTCCACAACGAAGAATTCAACAATTAGTATAGAAAGTTTATTTTAACTGGTGGTAAATGTCTGTCTTATAGTAATGATTGAGAAGAGACTCAACACCATTTAAGTAAGGTTTCAAATTTAAGTTTTGGGGGGGAAAAACCATGCTGTAAGAACACCCCCATCTCCTAAACTGGGACATTACTTAATCAAAGTTAATTTAAAGTATCAGTTATCAAACAGTTAATATATGGTTAAAAAGAATACAAAAAAGAAAGGTTAAAAAAATATAGAGCTTCTAATATTAGAAGTATTTTCTAACTTGTATATAATGGTAGAACTTACTTGAATATTCACTTTCTAACTGTTTCCAATTTGTAAGTAGCCAGCATGCATCTAAATTGGGTGAAATGGCTTTATGATTACAAATTCAGTACAAGGTGTTAATGATACTCATCTTTGATGCAAACATGCTCATCTTATATTTTTTGGTACATTATTGACCATCCAAAATATTTAGGAACATTCTTAGATGCATATTTGCCTTCATTTTATTGTGCCCCGTACAACCTGAATCTTTCAGGTTTGTCATGGCTTATTTCTTTCATCACAATCACAATCATTTTTAGAAATTTTTTCTCCTCTTTTTAAGGGAAAGCTTTAGGCTTGTTGTTCTTGATTTTGTTATTTATAATTCACTCTATCATGTTTGCAAACTTACTTAAGTACTTCATTAATTAGTTTTCTCAACACACACACACACACACCCACACCACACACTGCATTTTTAGCTTAAATCATCGAAAGTTTAAGTGTACGCTGGCAACTTAGCTTGTTATCTTCCATGTCTTTCTGAACACAAAATCATTAAAAGTGTGTGTTGTTTTGTGTTTTTGTGCGTATGTGTGCATGAGAAGGTGTGTGTATGTTTCTTACTGGGTTATATTGTAAATTTTCATATGGTGATTAGAAGAAAATGCTGTTTTTGATCTTTATCTCAAAAACTCAAGTTAACTTTTGAGTTCTTTTCTTTTCTTTTTGGTGATGGCTTTCTGGCTTATATTCCTGCTGTTGTACTTTTTTAAAGTTTTATTTTTTTTTTCCATCTTAACATGGACGAATGAAGTGATGAATCACAAAAATAGTGAAAAGCTACTATTTGTGTCAATTTTTTTTTTCTTATATAGCCTTCAATTAGAATACCTTTCTTTTATTATATTTAATTTATAACTTGTATTTAACATACTTCAAAATCCATTAATATATTATTATATCATAAGAGGCTTCGTCATCTGATAAAGTCAAGTCACATAGAATATTCAATTCTTTCATGGCCTGCTTCACTGCTGCAAATTTGTTATTTTGAAAACTTCTTTATATAATTATTTTTCAAAAGCATTGTTACATATAAGATTTAAGTTGACCACTTATATCAACAATATCTTTCAGCAATTTTTTCAATTGATGATTGACATAATTACTATAGATAGGTAGATAGATCTCAATCAAACCTCACTGTATTGCACAGAATCTAAGGGTAAAGTTGGAATTAAGGTCACATTATGTATACGTATGTATATATATGTATAGCTTTGTGAACAATACAACTTCCAAAAAGTTCATATTTATATATGTCATCCCTCTATCAATAATCTATGCAAAGTGAATAAGGAGCATGCATAATCTTCAATTCATGTAAGAATATTAAGCTTTGTCTTTTATTTTATATATGTACACACACACACAGAGTGAGAGAGTCAAGGTAATTTGTATTGGCATCCAATGTGCAACTAATTTCACTTTTTTCCCAAAGATTGATCAAGTAGCAGTCTCATTTGCAAGAAAATTATGTGATTTTGGATGCTCCTCAGAGTTTTTAGGAATAAAGTCATAATTTATGAAGTACATGTTGCTATAATTGTTATATTTCATACTAATATTAATATTGATTTTGCTAGATAAACTAAACTAATATATATAAACATTTAATATATATATATATATATATAAATGACTTTCTTTATCTAAGTATTGTGTCACTCACTTGAATAAGCCAAAGGAGTGTATATCATTATAATAGTGAATTAGTACTTGGTGCCACTTCCTAAATGTTCTCTTTTTGGATTTTCTGAAGTGATCAAAGTGATTGCTTATGATTCATTTAAAAGGGAAATGGCCAGAGAAATAATCAATGTGAAAGGAAGAAAAAAATAAACAATATATACACAATAGTTTTTTTTTTTTTTTGGTATTACATTCTCTTCTAATACATAGTCTACTTGTAATTAAATGTTCTAATACGGATTTGGTGCACATCTTTTTCGAACTCTTCAGATATTGTCTGGACGACCTAAATCTTTTTTCCTTTTATTCTTTTTTTTTCCCAATAAAGCTGATATTTGAGAGATATTGTTTTCTGTCTACATCTTGCTTTGTTCTTGACTGATCTAAATCAATCATGATGAATAGTTTAAACTAAAATAGAAGTGAATAGACAATTTGAATGAATTATGTAACCTTAAAAGAAACTGTAGCGAATAAATGAGATTCTATGAGTTACATTTACATCTTCTACCCAATTTCCAATATATTTATTTTTCTGATGCAATTATCTGATACATGATACTACTAGATCATATTTGAATTTGAATATTGTCTGATCTAATTGGAAATCGCTCTCCCTGTCGAGGTCTGCTATATATTTCCATATATATAATGTAAAATGCTCAGTGATTTTATTTTTGGTGGGATAAATTGATCACTAGGGATGTTCGTCATTTATTGTCTAAACTAAATAGGCGAATTCTTTGTATTGTATAGAGTCTAAAAAATTAATAGGCGGATTCACAATTTGGTACAGTATAATGGTGAATAACAAGTTTTAGCATAGGACTGAAAATTGGGTTAACGAGCCAGTTCATCTAGTAAATTATTGCCTTGATCAATTCAATGAAATGCTTTGTTCATGACCGATCTGACAAAATTTAACTATAGTTTTGACTATTAACTTTTAAACTAGTGTCATGACTAATTTAATGACTAGTCTGATTTTTAATACTGAGTTTTTGTATACTTGTCATTTGTCAAGTTGTGATAAAGAACTCTCATGGTAATTGGGTTTGCATGTAGCATGTACGTAAGAACGTGCGGTATGAAAAGTAAATGTTAAAGGAGAAGAAAGGAATTAATGCAGGGCTTAATTAGAGCTCGCATGCAGATCGAGTTCCATGTCCGCAAAACTGGTCACAGAAAATATGCAGAGCTGTTCGTGTCACCAGTAATTTACTAGTCTCAGAATAATCTTCTCATGAAAGTATATATATTATATTTGAGACACTGTACAACCTTGTAAGTACCTTGTAAGTTCTCATTACATTACATGTTAGACCTAGAGACTATATATGCTGCAATATATGATCTGTTTCATGATGCTCTCATCTCATCGCTTTCCGAGCTTCACTACTACCCAAAAAAAAGGAATATAAAACAATTATTTTTGTTAATATTTAATGATTTTAAATCATTAAATAATCTAGCCTTGAATATTTTTGGAGCCTTTATTCAACGATTAAAGGCTGTTAAATATTCTTCATTTATTCAACAGTTTTTTTATAAACCAAAACTATTTGATAAATATTTGTGTTATTGAGGCAAATTAGAGAGAATATTCAACAATTCTAGCTTCAGAACCATTGAATATTATCAAATTCTTCAACGGTTGTATACATGCAAATGTTGAATATTGCTGCATTGTAGATTTAATCATAATATTCAACTATTGAATATTGCTGCATTGTAGATTAAGTCATAAATTACAGAAATATATTCCGGCACCCAGAAATAAATTTTTGCCAACAATAATCACATATATACATGAATATACAATGAATTCATACATGAAAGCTATATGCAACTTGAAGTTGCTTAAGTTAAACCAATTAGTGGCTAAAACATAAAGCTTCAAATCTCAAAAATTGGCTAAGTATATACCTATGTATATCATCTATGTGAACTTTAAATATATATCTCTATCACATTTATTTCTTCACTATTGTTATTGCAGGTTGTTAAAAGTAAACCATGTTTGGAAAATACTATGTGCCAACTCTTTAAGAACTTCTTTCATTTAAGCATGAGTATATGCATCACAATATGTATTCTTGTAGTATTTTATGCAACAACAACCAATTAAAGTCATGTTTATTAATAAAAATAATATAATGATGAAGAGGTTGACAATATATATTACATTGTCCTTAAAGAGTCCTGATTAGAGTGTGTTGGATTATGTCCTTCATAAATTTCATGATAATGTACCCCCACAATTCCTGGCTTTGTCTACTTCCTCGAGGCACTTTGATTACACAATAGATAAAAAAATGATTAGTTAATGATATGATACCTATAATGATGTTGCTAACATAAGTAATGATAAATACATATACCTTGACAACTGTCCATGATGCCGCTGTATCAAAGCAATCACTACCCTTTACTAGTCATAAGAATTATTGATCAGCATCAGGGCAGTATATAATAATGGTCCTAATAGAAAACTTGATATGAGAATTATTCATACAAAAAGAACAACTTGCATGTGTATGTGCACAAAATTTAGTCAACTTACTAATTAATCATTTCTAGAGGAATGACCACTATGAGTAGGGTTGAGGTACCATACCCTCCCTAAATTTAGATTGATCATAAGTAAGATCCAACGTCCCTATGACAAAGATGACAATTAGGAAGTATCACATAAATAATTAAATTTTTAAGAAATTAAAGTGAAGCATCGTAAAGTAACCTACCTTTCATAATAAGGCATTATAAATATTATGTTCTTGTCAACACCATATGGGGGTTGACAAGTATAATCCTTTATGTTTATAGAGGTTTTTTAAATGTCAAAATAAGTGGATAAAAATGCTTAAAATATATAGATATTGCTAAATATTTAATAAAAGGTTTTATAAATATACCTCATATATAAGTCACATAGGGTAGTGTTAACCTCTACATGGTTGAATAAATCATTCAACACCTCATTATTGACTTAGTTTACAAACTATGGATTTGCATACATCTCCACAGGGAAAAGGAGCAGCACTCCTTGCATCTCAACTTAAGTCTTAAGCAATTATCAATTTCTATTGGGTGTGACTAAACATTAAGAGGCTTAAGGCTGAGGGACTTTAGGCTGATAGGCTTAAGGAAGAGTCATCTTCTTAGAAAATGTGATGGACTCCTTAGATTTGTTAGAGCTCTTCTTACCATTTCCCCTCTTTCGCTTATTCGTCGATGCTTTCATAACCTCTAGTGCTTTCTTTCTCACTAGCTTATCAACAGGCTAGTTTTTTCAACATATTCGTAGTTGCATATCAACTATAAATATATACAGAAGGAGTTAAATTTTAGTTATTAGTTTAACTGCTATACTTTAGAGACGGTGCCGAAATATGAAGGAGATGAATTGGTGATGCAACAAGCTGAGCAATGCATCTATTATTATCCTTGCATCCAGAGTTAGGTAGGGCATATCATAATTAGGATCCTCAACTATCTTCAAATAGACCTTCACTATCCCTTCAAGGATATGTTCATTATGAAGGATGATTTGCCCACAAGCATTGTTCATTCATCCTAGTACAACCACATGGCCATTATCTGCCAAACAATTAATGCTGGTCTCACCCTAAACAAATTAAAAAGAGAGAAACATTGTGTCATATGAATAATAAATTGGTATTATGTGTGAGGCTAGTAAAATGAATAATAATATCTCAAGTAGGAGTTGAAATGGGACTACACAAGGTGTGGAAGCCCCAACCTATGCTAGTTCAACATGTCCATGAGTCAAGAGTATTCTTATATCTATTACAATTGTGTTTGTATATGTTGCTTCTATTCTGCTAGCTCTTACCTCAATTTTTAAACCTCAACAAAAGAAGCAATCTTTTTACTATGCTTCAACCTTTCTCCAAGGTATTCTTTCCTTGTAACACCAAAGCCGACACCTTGAACACTATCGAGATGGTTAGTATTCCCTAATGCCTTCTTCGATATATAGAGTTAGAGTGCCTTCAAATGCCTCCTATGTCAAAGTCTCCTATAAAGTAGCAAAAGTAAATTGAATAACCAAAAAAATAAATAATAACACTATATCATTAATACTTACTATTATGTCAGGAACACCTTTGTTTTTGGATTGTTAATATTGCTTTCTTTATTTTTTTTTAGCCTAGGCCCAAATCCTCCAACCAGATATAGAACCCTTTTGCACTTGCTCTTTTCCAATCAAGTCCTTCTCAATGCTCACATGCTCCTTGTGCCAAGCCTTATGGGAAACTCATTTTTCTATGCCAACTCTTTATTTATTGCTTTTAATGCCTTTGAAAACTCAAATTATGACCAGTCTGTTGATATAAGGAAACAATAAAAGCCAATAAAAGCAACAATATATAGATGAAATAACATTAATATTACCTTAAACTCTGGACTGCAACGTGAGTCAACAAAAGCTTTCCAACCATCCTTACTTATAATAATCAAAAAAAGGGGTGGAACTATATCTTTAATACCCTCCATGTTAGGGTTCTCCAATAATTTATGGGTGACAAAACGTACAAAAAGATCTAAGTGCTATTCTAGCCTTCTATAAAACAAACTTCTTGCCTTTTTCTTCGATCTCAAATCCTAATTGCAAATAAATGAGTCAATTTAAACAAACGACTGTAAAATAAGTTTTAAAAAATAATCAAAGTGATAGTACCTTACTGTTAAAGTTCTCTAGACTACATTCCTTCTTGCAGGAGTTGCATTCTTCCAAGATTTCAAAGTAATAGGTATAGAGGACTTCATCGCCAAATTGATATAACTAATGAAGTTATAACTGTCAACCACTTAATTCTTATTGTTTCACTTGACAGTAAACTCTCTTCCTTCATTTCTTGCTTTAGTGACTTCCTCCATTACAATCAACACCATTTTCAGTTGTTCTTTCTCCTTATCAAGGTCAGCCTTCTTCTTAATTGCATCATCATTTTTCTTGTTAGGACTATTAGATCTAGAGCCAGTGTCTAAATGATTACTCTCAATAGCCATTTACCAATGAAGGCAAATAATAATCAAAATTAAATAATAATAATAATAATAATAATAATAATAATTCAAACAAGAGAAACAAAACATAACTACTTTCTTTTTCATTCCAAATATTAAATCAAATAATAATACGTCAAAAAATAACAACATAACTACTTTCATGTTTATTTCATTCTTTTTCTTATTTTTTCTTATTTTAACTCCTTTTTTTACTAATTCTTTTTTTACTTTAATATTTTTCTTCTTCAATTGAATTGATTTCTCCCTCTTAGGAATCCAAATCCTCACATTGATCATGTCTTACGTAGAAAGAATCATCTTCAATACGATATAAACCATCGTCATTTTTTGACTTCATCATTTTTTTGTTTTGCTCATTTTCTACATCTTTTATTTCTTCAACTTCCTTGTTACTCCACAAAACAATAAACTGTTCTTTATTAACAGGATCATGAATATAAAAAACTTGTTTGACTTGGGATAAAAAAAAATAAAAAGATCCTCTATATACCCTTCCTTATTCAGATTCACCCTAACGCTAGTGCAAAATAGCAATTTAATGACATATTTTTTACCACAGTTCGTAAAAAAAACTATGGTAATACATGAGATAATAGTTTTTTGGTAATTAACTTAAAAAGTAGATCATTTATGGTGACAGTTCTATGATAAATTGTCGCCATAAATGCTTATGAGAAATACTTAAATTAAATAATTTAATTAAATAATTAAAATAAATTTACAAAATAATTATAATTGAAATCAATTATTAATTATATTATTTATTAATAATAAATTAATATTTAAGGAAAATTAATTTTTTCTAAATTAAAAAATATTAATATAAATTTATTTAGAAGATAATTGTGCTTCATCAAAATTATTTATTATATTCATAATTAATTATGTAATATTGAAGATAAATTAATTGTATCTAAAATAAAAAATATTAAATGAATTTTATTTAGAGACTATTATAATAAATAAAAATTATTTATTATATTCATAATAAATAATGTAATATCTAAGTTAAATTAATTGTGTTTAGATAAAAAAATATTAACAAATTTTATTTAATAACATTGAATAATTAATATATTTTTTAAAGTTAAAATTAAAATTTTCAAAAAATCAGGCATATTAAAAATAGAAGACAAAATAAAATAAATCTTAAAATAATTAAATTAAATTAATTGTATATATTTTATTTATTTATTTATTTACATCTGAATTCATACATTTTGAAATTCAAAATGTCTGAATTCAGACAACATTAAAAGGCTTTGGCGATAGGTGCCCTCAGGCCTGTCGCCAAATATAATTAAATT